AGTGGACTCTTTGTTTAGAAGCATCAGTGTATATAATTTATGAAATCTTCACACTAACAGTATGGTGAGAAATTTCTGCTTGAATGTTGCCTAATGCAACTGAATTAAGAAAGGGCCGGAAGAGACGTAGCCAAAATTCTCAGTTCCTGAATGAAGAACTTGAAGACGCGACGCAGCTTTTTGTTTGTCTTCCGCCACTAATGAAGCTGGTTACGTACGTGTGTCCTGCTGGCGTGTGGTTGGTCACTTCCGTCTGAAAACCACCGTCTAGTCTTCCACTTCCTCAGCACAAGTGGCTGATCACTTCCTCTTGACAACCACCGTCTACCCTCCCTCCCTCTTCCCTAACATGACTCGTTGGTCATGCCCTTCGACAACCACCGTCTACCTTTCCCCTTACACACACAGACATGTAATCCCAGTTTTTAAGAAAGGAGGCAGTGTTAAACTGCAGACCAGCGTCACTTGTATATGTAGCATGTAAAGTTATGGAGAAGATTATCAGAAGATTTTCAGAGGTATTAGCTAGAATTCTACTCAAAACAAACCCTACTATCACATGGCAACCTAGAGTTACCTTCACTACTGCTGCTACTACTACCACCTATCTTTCACCTCACGTGGTACCCATATATATACCGTCTGTGTCCTCGTATTGTTTGTAACAGCTTGACAAAGCTTCTGGAGAGCGAAACGTTGTCACAGTAAAATGTCACGTTTGATGCATGTGCCTAATTACCTAACAGAATAAGACAGGAGAGAGAGCGGGATGGGTAGATTGCATTTTCCTGGACTGTAAGAAGGCTTCTGGCACAGTCCCGCACAAGAGACTTGTACAAAAGCTAGAACAGAAAGTAGGAATAACAGGAAAAGCAATACAATGGATCAAGACATAAACGACAGGAAGGAAACAACGAGTGATGGTCCGTGACGAAGTGTCGGAATGGGTGCATGTGACGAGTGGAGTTCCACATGGGTCACCCCTCAAGGAAGGTTCCTTGATGTTGGTGAGGGGCTCTTGATTTAGGGAATTGGATCTGTGCTCCAGTTCCCCAAATTAAGCCTGAATGCCTTCCACATCCCCCCCCAGGCGCTGTATAATCCTCCGGGTTTAGCGCTTCCCCCTTGATTGTAATAATAATCCACATGGGTCAGTCCTAGGGCCGGTGCGGTTTCTTTTATTCGTGAATGACATGACAGAAGGGATAGAGTCAGAGATATCCCTGTTACCAGACGACGTGAAACTAATGCGAAAAATACAAGCGGACGAGGATCAGGAATGATTACAAAGGGATCTGGAAAGGCTGCAAGTATGGTCTTACAAGTGGTTCCTGGAACCTAACCCTATCAGGGGCAAAGTTATGAAGCTTGTGGAAGGTCAAAGAAGACTGCAGACGGAGTACAAGCTCGGGAGGCAAAGGCTGAATTGTCAGGAAGTGAAATAATCTGGAGAGTGAAGTGGCAGAGGGAGGATCCATATATAGCTTTAAGAAGAAGTACGATAGAGCTCTTGAAGCTGGGAGAGAGTAGACCTAGTAGCTTCCAGCGAAGAGACGGGGCCAGGAGCTGTGAATCGACCCCTGCATCCACATACAGGCGGGTACACATGAACGCACACACGGTAGGAAGTGGTACAGTCACCGAAAATTTCCATAAAAGGGACAGCCTGTGTCTGAGCCTCTTCTAATCACCTTGTTAGAAAAATTAGAGACCACAAAACTGACAATGACAAATGTGGTAGGATTAGATTTTGCCGCTGAAGCGATAAAGATGGCGTCTGTGAAGGCTGAAAGAGGACTACATAGTTTTGGCAGGGAACCGGTTTATAAGATGGCTAGGATCTTTAACATGACATAATAGAACGTTGTTAGTGACAGCAAAATGAACAAGTCTTTCATGTTCTTCTAGTCTGTCAGAAAGAAAACGGCCACTTTCAACAATAAATTGGAGAGGGTACGAGAAGCAGGAAACGGAGAACACAGCGGAAGTATCAGTGGCAGGAGAAGTGTGAGAAAGTGTATTAGGTTCACGAGGTGTAAGTCAGAGACTGGAAGTTGCTATAATATTTTCTAAAGCTAGAAACAGAACAGCGAAGAGTGGAAATTTCAGGTAGGTGAAGGTAGACAGATGCCAGTGTGCACAGTGTTGCGGTAGAGGGGAAAAAGGAAAAAACTATCACACAAGGGTAGATATGAACATCAAGAAAGGAAATTAGTGAGTTAGCCTTAAACTTGACACACACACACGGAGCAATATTATTAAGAGCAACAAGAAAGAGTAAGCCACTCGGCCAGCTGGCTCAAATAAGATTAAAGGTGATGGCGGACTTTGTTACAAAAAAACGGGATATCTAATAAGCATAGAGATCTCCAGTGAATACTAGAAAGGACTGCCCTTCTAGCATCCAGCCTGTTACTGGGTTTTTGTAACAAGTAGTCAGTATCCTGGTCCAATTATCCATTAGAACTTAGTAAGATTCAATAGTGCTTCAGGATTACAACTGGTAGGCTACTAACTAAAGAAATTAAAATTTAATAAGTTTATTAATAACAATAAAGTTATCTACGCGTATATTATCAAAGTAAATTATAGTAATCAATTGAATATAATATAGGATACAAGTTGCTACACTCCTCTCGTGTACAGCAGTATTGTGCTGAAGGCACATATCACATCTTCATGGCTTTTAAGTACCGTCTGGTACATTATTAACATTTAATAACATAATACAAATATATACAAGTAAGTTTGTGTGTATGTGTGTAAGTGCTCTAAGTAGTTCGTTATATCTCAAGACTCGACTAGACTTAACCAGTGACTGACTAATAGTCCTCACATAAACTGACTTCTTGACCAACCTGGCAATCAGAACAGCTTGCTTGAACAATAAAACGACTGATAAGCCAAACAGCAATATAACAAGCAACAACGACACAGAATCAGGAACAAGGAGATAATATAACGACACGAAGTAGGGACCATCTGCAGATCCTCCACAAAAGTCACAAAACTCACTACTGAATCTAAGTTCAGCATAAGAAAATCCCCGACTGTGACAGTACACAGATACCAGTACAAGTTATGTCAGAAGCTACAGCTCAGGACTGAGTTTCTCAGTGTCTATGAGACACACAACCTCAATACAACGTCGAAAATCACTAAGTCTAGACCATGTTCTGTGAACAGAGTTACACAGAACCAACAACAAAAAAGCGACAGAGACGATCTTCCAACAAGGGCCAGCAATGGAGAGTTAGAGAGGCTGTGTTGTTGGAAGGCACGTCAAACCGACAATAATCAGAGCAGGCCAGGCAGACTCTCACTCCTGGTGAGGTATGATCACCCACCCTGATCACGTGACTCCATGGACTGCTGCTGCCCAGCAACTACAGAGAAGCCGGCAGGGAAACAAGCGGAGCGATAGTTAGACAATGCTTTCAGCTACTGAACACTTGAACTAAGAGCATTGAATAATATATAAATGTTACATCCTACCTAATAATATAACTAAGTCAAATAATAATATAAAGCAATATATTTACGATTTAGCTATTATCGCAAATATAAGCAATATAAAATTATATGAACAGGCAATATACATTATATACATTGTGACCCATTCAGGAGTCGCAACAGACCTAAATACAACACCAGAATGAAGGAACACTGCAGCAGGCCTACTGGCCCATGCTAGGCAGGCCTAACTCACACCCACTCATAGTACCTCAACAACTTATATTTAAACACAGTCAAAGTTTTTTGCCTCTATGACGCTACCTGGGAGTTTGCTCTACTCATCTACAACTCTACTACCTAACCAGTATCTGCATATATCCTTTCTAAATCCAAATTTGTCCAACTTGAATTCATTGCTGCGAGTCCCGTCTTGGTTAGATATTTCCAAAACGCTATTTAAATCCTCTATATTTATTTATATTCTGCATATGTACACTTCAATCACACCTGACTTAATTCTACAACTTATCGTAGTTAAAGTTTCTAATACATGGAATTAACTTAGACGTCCTTCTCTGTCTTCTTTTCAGCGTATTAACATCCATCCTGTAATATGGAGGCCAGACGAAGCTGACTGATAAGAGATAAGAGACGGGGCCAGGAGCTAGGTCTCGACTCTTGGAAACACAACTAAGTAAATTCAACTAGGCTATCACACACACACACACACACACACACACACACACACACACACACACACACCACACACACACACACTGTGTATGTCAGGTCCATACTGGAGTATGCAGCACCAGTCTGGAACCCACACCTGGTCAAGCACGTCAAGAAGTTAGAGAAAGTACAAAGGTTTGCAACAAGGCTAGTCCCAGAGCTCAAGGGAATGTCGTACGAGAAAAGGTTAAGGGAAATCGGACTGACGACACTGGAGGACAGAAGGGTCAGGGGAGACATGATAACGGCATACAAGATACTGCGGGGAATAGACAAGGTGGACAGAGATAGGATGTTCCAGAGAGGGGACACAGGGACAAGGGGTCACAACTGGAAGCTGAAGACTCAGACGAGTCACAGGGACGTTAGGAAGTATTTCTTCAGTCATAGAGTTGTCAGCAAGTGGAATAGCCTAGCAAGTGAAGTAGTTGAGGCAGGAACCATACATAGTTTTAAGAAGAGGTATGACAAAGCTCAGGAAGCAGAGAGAGAGAGAGGACCCAGCAGCGATCAGTGAAGAGGCGGGGCCAGGAGCTTAGTCTCGACCCCTGCAACCACAATTAGGTGAGTACAATTAGGTGAGTACACACACACACACACACACACTACAATGGTGAAGGAAGGTTCCATAAGGTATACATTTAAAAGTAGTTCTGATAGGGCCCACGAGACTAAGTGGACCCGTTAGTGACTAGTTAAAATACACAAGTTAAAAGGCAGGGCCAGGAGCTGACGCTTGACCCCTGCATCGACGAGCAGGTGAGTACACACTCTTAAAAAAAAAGATATTGTGAATATCATGTATCACCTACCTTGGGCCACTTGGGGTTGAGCTCCCGCGCCTTGGTGGCATCCTGGAGGGCGTGGGCGAACTTGGCGAGCTTGATGTGGGCGGCGGAGCGGTTGGAGTAGAGGATGTGGTTGTGGGGATCGAGAGCGATGGCCTCGGTGTAGAGGGCCACCGCTGTCTCGAAGTCCCCAGACTGGCACGCAGCATTACTCTGACGAACCTTTTCCAGAAACAGAGCCTTCGACCCGCCGCCCTCAACCTCGCCTTCAACCTCCAACTGTATCAAGGAGAGAAACTGTGGTCACTCACTCATAATTGTCGAGGAATACACAAATAAGGCGCACATGGGAGAACGAAACTTATGGCCACATTTTGGTCCGACTTGAACCATTAAATGAGTCACACATGGGGAAGCGCTAAGCACGTAGGGGGTCATACAGCGCCTAAAGAATGGGAGGTATCAGGTTTAAGACAAGGGAGGAGAAGCTCCATAGTGACTAATAACTTGCATAACAACGTCCACGAGCGTTAGACGGAATAAATGCAGAAACTTCCATTTAAGTGACAGAGGTATTATTATTATTATTATTAAACTTTGACAAAGGGTAGAAAATAGCTTCTAATTCAGTGAGATTGAAAAGTTTCCTCCAGCGACACCTCGACTTTCCAAGAGAGTCATCTGATGTAGGAAAAAAAAATGAAGGCCGGCCACTGGTCATTGCATGTGGGAGAGAGGAGATGCCAGGAAGGTCAATTATTATAACAATTTTAGTCTCATTTACAACAGAGAAGAGTGCAAGTTATTTGTGAGGTCGTCAGCCTAGTGTTGTCTCATGAAGAACTACAGTCCTGGGAGCTGAAATGAGATGCTGTCTTGGGCGATAGTCAACAAGTATTACGTGTCCTGGACACGTAATACAGAGAGCAATCCTGTATTTTAGATGACTTTTCCCGCCTGAACACTTGGGTGAAACGTCATCTACAATAAAGATTTACTCTCCATTACGTGTCTTTTCACCTGGAATGAGTTGGATGGGGAAGTGCAGGATATAAATTCTGTATACAGCTTTGAGATTGATTAGGTACACGAGGTAAGACTCCAGTAATGTTGGTCTAAACATTTTAAAAGATGGATCAGGAGCCGAGATTCCAGTTCCACAAACAAATATTTTAAGAGATGTATCAGAAGCTGGTATTCCCCGCCCATCCCCACAAACACAAATCGCTGAATACTCTTAATAAGTTTTCAGTGGATTTAAAACCACACCTCTGTCAGCAAAAGAAACATTCTTCATTTATAGTGGCACAGTTTCCATCGTAGTGTAATACAGAAGAAAATGAAAACAGTTAATAATGACACTTTAAATTTCACGAATATTGTGTATCTCGAAGCTTTTAAACTTTCCTCTTTTGAAGAAAGATTTTTATTTACATTTTGCCCACTGGGGTGAGCTTATAGGGCACCACCTCCCATCCTAGTGTAGCCTATCGACTACACTAGGATAATTAAGACTGCATTTAACCTACTCATCACCAGACAAGAATACTTTAATCCTGAATATAGGAATCAGATTCTCAGCGCATTTACGCTGAGAAATATACACCTCTTGGTGTATATTTCCTTGTCTACTCTTGTATTCTGCTGCATTTTGAGACATAGTGCGGGAATGTGTGTTTATCCTCCTCTCCAAAAGCTTTACACTGTCTTTCTACTCTTGGAGTTGCGACACCAACCTGCCACTGTAGGTTTAAGAAAGATAAACAAAACGTGTACATGTAATTTATTTGTGGAATGACTTCAGTGTGTGAGTGCTTGAGTAAGACCAGAGGCTTGACGTGTGGACACATGCAGTGCCACTCACTGACCCACATTCTATCCATATTGTTTAATGATGTATCACGGTTTTACCAAAGGAAAAAAAGATCTTTTATTGCTCTTGTAGTAATTTTCGTGTATTATATAACGTTTAAAACAGTGATGTAATCTCAGCAATACTGTAACTTAATGGCTACATAAATATTATCTTGTCTACAATAACCCGCACATAGGAGAGAGGAGCTTACGACGACGTTTCGGTCCGACTTGGACCATTTACAGAATCACACATCAGTTAGTGTGACTATAAATGGTCCAAGTCGGACCGAGACGTCGTCGTAAGCTCCTCTCTCCTATGTGCGGGTTATTTGTGTATTGTTCCAGTCACGGTATTGGGCCTTTTTGTTCATTATCTTGTAATTTGTGACATTTAGTTACTTTCCTCCAAATAATAATTTACCAACAAGTGGACAGATGTTCAACGTTCCTTGATCTTGTGTCGTATGATACTTCAACTCTGCTGCTTCACAGTTACTTCTAGTAACTTTCTTCTGTACCTGTCTTGTACTTCGACGACTAACACAGTATTGCTCTAAGCTATAACGTAGCGATGTTAGTTGTGGAAGATTGCATATCCACTGATGTGATGAGGGACAAAACCAACATGTTGGCAATAAAACGTATATAAGTTTTCTCTCATTACTGACATAGTGTTTATTACACTCCAACAATTATCACTCGTGGATACGTATGTAAATATCATGAGTGATATGTTTCATAAACCAGACATTTCAATAATTCTTAAATAAATTTATATCTATGTTCCTGAACGCCATGTCTTTGTGCTTTGTTTACAAAATTTATTGAATGGAGGAAAAGTAGCTGACGGTGGCAGCCAAATGTTAAAAAAACTATCAACATCTACAGGTTCATTGTGATAAAATGTGCCCCCACCCACATTTGACCACGCCTTCAACTTCAACACTTTCCACTGCAAGTCTCATCCTTATACCTCTGTATTAGAATGATAAAACCTTGCAAGCGAAACTTTTCTGATCATAAATACACATAATTTTTAAAGGGGTTGACCGGTAGGCCAGCTGAAGGTCTCGGTCATATGACTGAAAGCTCCAGCGGCGGGTCATCATATGTTAGTCTAAGACCCGCGTCAGGAAACACTTGTCCTATTTTCTGATAAATCTTACCTTACACTTGTATTGCACATCTGCTTTTATCATCAACTTGTGAGTATTATACCTTTAATCTAAATTTAGGATAAAGGTCTGTGTATTGCAGGTTGAGGAGCTTACATTACCGGAGTAATAATCAGAGGTGTGCAAAGATGCTACCACTCAGACCAGCAGGAGTAAGTCAGCGGTCACTTCTGCCAGCTAACCTGGAGTCCATGTGTCAAATCCATCAATCTTGAGAAAAGTACAGACAGCATATGCTGTTTGTACAGTCTGTATAGCATATGTCTGTCTGTACTTTTCTCATGACTGATGGACGGAGCACATTGACTCCAGGCTGAAGGACTGATTACCTCATTCTCCTCTTCATCTTTCACCGTTGAACTGAAGAAGCTACTCCGCTGCCTCAGGTCCATCCCAACAGACACAAACAGCTAGCCTACCCTCCCCTGCCCCCGGTCCATCCCAACACAGACACAAACAGCCAGCCTACCCTCCCCTGCCTCCGGTCCATCCCAACACAGACACAAACAGCCAGCCTACCCTCCCCTGCCCCCGGTCCATCCCAACAGACACACACAGCCAGCCTACCCTCCCCTACTCCCGGTCCATCCCAACACAGGCACAAACAGCCAGCCTACCCTCCCCTGCCTCCGGTCCATCCCAACACAGACACAAACAGCCAGCCTACCCTCCCTACCCCCGGTCCATCCCAAACAGACACAAACAGCCAGCCTACCCTCCCCTACCCGGTCCATCCAACAGACACAAACAGCCAGCCCTCCCCTACCCCGGTCCATCCAACAGACACAAACAGCCAGCCTACCCCCCTGCCCCGGTCCATCTCAACAGACACAAACAGCCAGTCTACCCTCCCTGCCCCCGGTCCATCCCAACAGACACAAACAGCCAGCCTACCCTCCCTACCCCGGTCCATCCCAACAGACACAAACAGCCAGCCTACCCTCCCCTACCCCCGGTCCATCCCAACACAGACACAAACAGCCAGCCTACCCTCCCCTGCCCCCGGTCCATCCCAACACAGACACAAACAGCCAGCCTACCCTCCCCTACCCCCGGTCCATCCCAACAGACACAAACAGCCAGCCTACCCTCCCCTACCTCCGGTCCATCCCAACACAGACACAAACAGCCAGCCTACCCTCCCCTGCCCCGGTCCATCCCAACACAGACACAAACAGCTAGCCTACCCTCCCTGCCCCGGTCCATCCCAACACAGACACAAACAGCTAGCCTACCCTCCCCTACCTCCGGTCCATCCCAACAGACACAAACAGCCAGCCACCCTCCCTTCCCCCGGTCCATCCCAACAGACACAAACAGCCAGCCTACCCTCCCCTGCCCCCGGTCCATCCCAACAGACACAAACAGCCAACCTACCCTCCCCTACCCCCGGTCCATCCCAACAGACACAAACAGCCAGCCTACCCTCCCCTGCCCCCGGTCCATCCCAACACAGGATATCTGTAACAAATTAAAAAGCCAATTCGTCGAGGCAGAACTAAATTACAACAACCCAAAGTGAAGCTGTGGTCGATTATTATGATTTAAAGTTTCTCATTATTATTATTTATTATTACTATTATTATTAATTACTATAGCAGCAAAAGGAGTAATAGCAGCAAAGAGTAATAGCGTATCCTTATTATATTTTATTGGTTTTATTGTTGCCAATGGTATGGAGATCCTGGTTATGAGAAATCATTATTATAATGGCCACCAGTAAAACATTCAGTTTACTTCTTGGTTGCAGTATACATGTCTTGACGTCAGTGTAGCTCTTCTAACACTGAACTATCATACCATGACCTGTCATAACAACAATCAATTTATTTATACACCCTAATAGATTTAACGATATTTTATACAGTTTCCACCGAATAGCCATCATTTCATACCCCCCCCCCCTTCTCTCTCTCTCTCTCTCTCTATCTCTCTCTCTCTCTCTCCCTCCAAGACCTTCATACACATAGCAACAAAACAAAGAATTACGAACTCACACAGTAAATTATAACAAAATTGGCCCCTCCCCGGCCACGGGAGATAGACAATATAGCCAGTTTAACAATACAACATCCTCCCTCATCAAGTGTATAATTTTAAAACCTGCTGAGTTGGCAGCGATCTCCAGGCAGACGACGATCATGGGAGTACATGGGAAAGACTCACTCCAGACGACTTTTCAATGTACACACACACACACACACACACACACACACACACACACACACACACACACACACACACACA